CTTCTTATTCTTCTTCTTCTTCTTCTTCTTCTTCTTCTTCTTCTTCTTCTTCTTCTTCTTCTTCTTCTTCTTCTTCTTCTTCTTCTTCTTCTTCGTGGTTAACAAGCAACTGTGAAGTGTGTTACTGCCACCTTCCAGTCTGGAGCATGGATCAGATGTTCAGTTTCCTTTTAGCCCCCCTAAAACAGGCCTGGTGACGTCACAGGATGTGGTAACAGTGTAAACTCAGTACTCAGACCCAGCAGGGGGTAGTTATACCAATCCAGTCAGAGAACACACTGGTTGAATTGTTTGTGTATGAACTGATTAAGTAATTGGAATTTTTTTAATTTAAAGATTTTATGGATTTATTTATTACATCTTTTTATTGTTTTACTGTTTTTAAATGTAAATATGGACACAAAGTCTGCTAATAAAGTGTGATTGATTGATTATAATCAACAATACTCGTTTTTGCAGCATTTATAGCATATTTATCATGTCATTATTATTATTATTCCAATATGAGCAGGAGTCCACACTAGTTTAACTTTTTATATCAAATATAGTATATTGCCTTGATGTTGAATTTATCTCCTGAAGACTTAATGCAGCACTGAGAGACACCTGATTCAGATGACTGCAGCTCCAATCAAGCTGTCCGTTTGTTCATTGGGTTTCTGGGTCACGTGGAACAAATCCGCGGTGGCTGATTGGTTGATTGTTTATTCAGAGGGCGGAGCTTAGTTTGAACCGCCGTCGCGCCGCCTTCAGTCTCAGATTTCCTCCTCCAGCAGAGTTTGAACAGGTCGACAGCTCCTGTTTACCTTCTGCTGTTACAGAGCCGTGTCTTTTAACGTTTTATTTCCTGGTACTATCATGGCTGACAGAGCGGACGGAGGAGCTCTCATGGCCGGTAAGAGGAGGCAGCAGCCGGCGAGGAGGACGAGCCGACACGTCCCGAGGAAGAGCTGCAGCAGCCGGGTAGGGTCCGAGCTAACCTCCGTTAGCATCCAGGTTCCGTTAGCTCCGCGTGGCTTTAAACGAGTCCTGCTAAAGTTTAACAAACCACTCATCTGAACAGTTTATGATTTAAAACACAACTTTACCTTTGAATCATCCCAACTTTTACAGAAGTTTAATGTTTCTGCTAAGTAGCATGAAGCTAATGCTCAGATAAAAACAACAACAAGTAGGCCACCGGTATAACGGGAAGCTGTTTTTAAAAGGCTTTTTAACAGTTTAAACATATTTATTATAACTTTAAACCTGTTTAAAAACAGGGAAACTTCAAAATGTTTTAAAAAGGTTAAATTCTGCTTTAACTGTTAAAGTCAACTTATTGACTGAAGGTTTTCTCTGGACTTTGTTTTGT